GCCCATTTATCGAGGAAGGCTGTAGGCTATATATCATCACGCTAAGACCAATAGGAGCGGAGCACCAATGAAGAATGTTTCAAAAACGGAGAAAATTTATTACTGGAGAGACGCAGACGAAGTTACGCGGGTCAGTTAGTACAATATAAGTAAAACCAATTTACATGGAGAACCATGACATCATTAGTCATGTACAGTTATTGAAATCAAAGTAGGACTTTCAATGTGTCTGGCAAGATGTAAAAACCATTAAAACTGTCCGGCTATTGATGTAACATTTTTAATAGGTGTTCAAATAACATATATAAAATTTAGCTTTTATACTATAATAAAAGTATAATTATAATTTATTAAAGTTTAGGGGTGTCTGGCACGGGCACGCCGTCATCGCGGCGGTACGACCCGTTATGGAGGATTGGCTCGAGAGGCGTCACGGGACCCTCTCATACCGATTGACGCAGGTGATCACTGGGAAGGGATGTTTCGGAGATCACCTGTGTCTGATCCGCAAGGAGCCAACGCCTGAGTGCCACCACTGCGATGGCCAGACCGTAGACACGGCTCTCCACACGCTGGCAGAGTGCCCGGCGTGGGTTGAGCAGAGGCGAGACCTCGTGGCGGCCATCGGAGTGGGAGTTCTCTCGCTCGATAGCCTGATTGCGGCTATCGTGCGGAGCGAGAGTGCGTGGAACTCTGCCGCCTCCTTCTGCGAGCAAGTTATGCTCGCGAAGGAGATGGCGGAGCGGGACCGGGAGAGGTTTAGGACTCTCCCGGCCCGCCAGGCCCGGGAACGGGCCAGGCACCGCAGGCGACTCAGGCGCCGGAGGTTGCAGAACGACCTCCGTCCTCCATAAGCGCAGGCCTGGGGGTGACAGGTGAGGCCATCTGTCACCCTAGCAGAAGCAGGCCAGGGTGGCGGCGAGCGCGTTGCGAAGCGCGCTCGCTTCCAGGGAGCACAGGGAACATGGGGTTCCCACACGGGGGGGGTCGTCTACTCGTCTGTAGATGACCCGAGGTATGTCGGGGCACCAGGGACTTCCTTTCTAGGTTATACCTGGTTCCCCGGCTATTAGTAACCGGCGACGGCGTGCGGTTTTAGTCGGTTCGAGTCCGACATGCCACCGACAGGTGGTATCCGAGGGGATTTCCGCACGGGAAAAAAAAAAAAAAAACGGGTGTCTGGCAGGGGTTAGCAACTGTTATAATGATGATAAGATTTTTACAGTTATCCCGATTACGAATATGTTATTATCTTATTCATTGTTTCGCTGTGTTGCTTTAAACAGCAAGTCTAATTCCTAAAATGAATTCTACTATAAAAAAAAAATGTTTTGAAAACAAGTGGAAATGCAACACATCATACAAGACATATAAAAAGACGTCTGATCCTTTTATCACCAAACCAGCACAGTATATACGACAGCAATTAATGTGATTGCTTTGCTTTCTGTTTTAAAATTTAATAAATGAAATTTTAATACAGAGACGTACTGGTGTACTTAATTATAAACTCGCTAAATTTTCCTTTTGATGTCCAGAAGCGCTCTTTTACACAACAATGAACCAACTTATGCACACCTAATATTAGACACAGTAATACACAATGATATAATATGAGCTGCGCTCCTCGGTGTCACCCCACGGTGTTACTAACACTACATTTTTTGGGAATAAAAACTAGCCTAAGGTGGCGTATAGTCAGCGGTCGATGACGAACCACTGGGCGAGGCGAGTGCAGTGCAGAGAGTGCAGGGCAAACAGCAGGTTTAGTTTAACGGTAAACCCATCAAAATGCCAAGCGATCATCATAGGGAGTCTTAGAATGACAAGCAGAATTGATCCTGATCATCATCACCATCATCATCAACAGCCTTTAATAGTCCACTGCTGGACATAAGCCTCTCCTTAGAAAGGAGGTTTTGGCCTACTATACCACGCTGGCCAGACGGGTTGGTAAAGGGTTTGTGTCAAGTTTTCCTTCTCTCTGCAGTGCTGTTGTTCTGCGTAGTTTTCGCCCTTAGTCGGCTCTTACGACACCCACGGGATGAATAGGGGATGAATCCGTGTGGTGACGGATTAAGAATACAGAGTGATCCTGATAGTTTTACTGAAATAATCTTTAATGACACCGTTTTGCCTGTTAGTACATTTTTTTTATGGTATAAGGGAGCAAACGAGCAGACGGGTCATCTGATGGTACGCACCTACCGCCGCCCATTGACACCTGCAACTCAAAAGTCACAAGTGCGTTGCTGTCCTTGGAGTCTGGGGATTTGGACTAAGGCAACGAAAGAATTGCTTAACACCGGTATTTGTGAGGCCGTGGTATCACTCCGGTCGAGCCGGCCCATTCGTGCCGAAGCATGGCTCTCCCACGGGTAAAACATCGGTCAAGGATCTCAGTCTACACATCGATGCTACTCTGAACTGGCAAACTCTGGTAACTAGCGTCAGTCAGAAAGTTACGAATATTTTACGAAGATTCTATCGCCTTAAAATTTTCCTTCTAATAAAAACAAAGACGATGCTTGTGCAGAGTTTAATTTTTCTACTTATCGACTATGGTGCTGTGTGTTATCTCGACTTGAATGCAGATCTGCTCAATAAATTAGACCGACTTCTCAACAATTCGATTCATATTCAACCTACGAAAGTATGATCACGCAACTCTCATGGTTACCTATAAGACAGCGCCGCAGTTCGAGGACTCTGACTACGTTGCACTCTCTTCTCCATTCACCTAATTCACCTACCTACTAGATATCCCACTTCTAATATCTCTGCTCCAATCATGATAGAACTCTTCGCTCTTTTAGAAGAGCGAAGAGTTCTATCATGATCTTGATCATGAATCTTCTCCTTCTTTGTCCTTTACACATTTCCACTATGGTCCATTCTTCCTTCCCTGTTCAAGCTGTAACTCTTTGGAAGAGAGAATAGAAATCAAGATGTCCACTAACCGATCCACTTTTAAGTTTAAGTACGGAAGCGCTATAGAGACTTGTTGACGGAATCATCACAATATCACCTTAAGAGTATCTTTATTATGATGATGATGATGATGTCCTCGAAGACGTATCCGTCGACGGCGACACCCTGTCACCTTTCAACAGCTCCGTTTACGCTCATGCGCCCGTACGTGACTCGCAAAACCGACTTTGGTTTTGAATACACGGTCACATGAGGCACAGTGAAGCTCACCACGCGTATTGTAAGTGTAATTATAGGAGGACTTATCTTTATTAGATATGTAGGGTCACATAGTTAACATCAAACATGGTTAACATGGTTAGAGCATAAAGGAAAAAAATACGTAAGTTTAATTTTGATTTATTATTGTCTTCTGATTAAAAATTACTTATTTATTCCGGTGTACTTTGTTAAATTGGTTCAAAACGCGTAAAGTCTTAACAAATGAAACTGAATAACATTTTGATTATGCTATGAAGAATTGTGAAATTTCTGTAAATATAAAGATAAATTGATAGACCACGTCATGTTCGGTCGAAAAGCGTTACCTACTATTGATTTATTTTGCGTATATACCATTTACATAAAAAAAAAATTAAAAATATTGTATTACCGTCCTTCCTTCAAAAGCGGGGACAGATTGAAGCATAGCGGTTTAAGAAATCGATTACTACAATATCCGATTCTTAAGAGATTTCGATATAATTTCTTAGTATGTACTAATCGATTTCAGTTTCAAAGATTTTTGTAAGTAACTATAAAAGCCCGTGTAATGGTACAACATAGGTTGTACTAGTAAATCTTAGTATACACTAGACTTGGATACGAGCGATTTTTGCCTACAAAGATTTATTAAAAATTACATCAACTTATATACTTTTAATTTTAATTATACGTTGCCATTGACAGTTAGATGTCAGATTAATTTTTAGTATTATTACTTATATCACTTATCACATATTATCACTTTACGACGCCTGGTTTGAAAATGACTTGTTGTTGTTATGCTTTATTTCAAAGATTAAAATTAAAATTTAGTCATTAATAATGGTATATCTTGCAACAAAATTAAAATTTCATAATTCCATGGTTTTTGAAAAGGTTATTGACCAGCACCTGCAACCAGAGCAAGGAATGAAAGATTCAGCACTTGCTGCACAATACTGGTTACTACTGGTCTCTTAAGTAGCTTTCTATATTATAATAATCTGTGCACTAAAGTATTTACATGATTAGATCAGTAAATACAATTTTTCTAAAAAGTTACGATATTATAGCAGTAGTTTTACAAAGTTTATTTTTTAGACTGATGATATAATTTGTTAATTATCAAAGATATAATAATTGTTGCATGAAGGAATTAGCTTTTTCTTTTTCTATTAATTGCTTTAAAAAAAACTATAAAAAAAAGCTTGTTCCTGGAAATGTTGTAACTTACTAGTCAAGTTAAACCTTATCTCCATAGTAGATATTGGGGTTATTAAACTACAGTAACTATGAATGAAGCGAGTGCAGTTTGTTAACTTATATTACATACAATATTGTTATTTATAACACATTTACTCAGTACGTTTATACCTAACACAAAATTTGAAAAATAAATCCTTTAAAAAGTATTTACATCATCTCACAATGATCCTATCCATTGTGCTAATATATATTTATTACACCTTGTAGTTTAGTACACCTAAAATTATTAAAATTTTAAATACATATAAATACATTTCTTAGAAGCTTATACAAGATCGGGTCGTTGCATTTCTAGAAAAACTTAAGGTAGAAATAATGACAGCCAAACATGGCAACCCTTTTTTTTACTGTCACGCGTCAAAACCGAAAACCGAAACATTTTCTTCTGTTCCGTGACCCGTGATAAACAATAATTGAGGCTAGTTACTACTACAAATCACTATAAGTTGTTTTCAACGCCCACGCAGTTACATAGGCATCAGTTTCAAAGATAAACAAAGTGCTTACATTTCGACCGGCTTTTCGTGTAATGTTCCGAAGGTAGTTAAAAATCACACGTTATGGCATCTGGATCAAAGAATGACATAGTTAATAGATTGCTGAACGTGAGGGTAGACGACGGCGGCGGTGGAGATGAACAGCACCCGCCTCAGAACATGCTGCCTTCCAACCAGCAAGCGAGACAGCTCGGTCAGATACAAGAGGAAGATAATGGACAACCAAACGAGCCTATGCCTTCGTCTTCGAACATAGAAAACTTACAGCCAATTAACAACACAGGAGGTCGGTTGCATAACTGGCAGGCGACAAAGACGACGGTGAAAGAAAGGCTGTCATTTCTTTTCAATAATGAAATTCTTTGTGATGTACACTTCATTGTAGGCAAAGAAGCTAACCAGCAGGTAATACCAGCTCACAAGTTCGTGTTATCAGTAGGAAGTGCGGTATTTGACGCCATGTTCAACGGTGTCCTGGCCACCAAGTCGGATGAAGTTGAACTCCCAGATGTCGAACCTGCTGCATTTTTACACTTACTAAAGTTCCTATATTCTGATGAGGTCCGAATAGGCCCAGAGAGTGTCATGACTACTCTGTATACAGCCAAGAAATACGCTGTGGCTGCTCTAGAAGAGCATTGTGTGGATTTCTTGAAGAGTAATTTAGGTACGGACAATGCGTTTCTGTTGCTAACGCAAGCACGATTGTTTGATGAGCCACAGCTGGCTGCTTTGTGTTTGGAGATGATAGATAAGAATACTGCTGATGCATTGAATGCTGAGGGATTTACGGACATAGATCAAGATACATTAAATGCTGTTCTAGAAAGGTATGTATAGTTTTCCTTTTTACATTGACAGTACAAAAATTTCAACTTATCTTTTGTTTAATGGCTTTTTGGTAAAGAGTGATAGATAATGATGTGTAGTCTTGTGTCATTCTTGTGTCAATAATGTAATAATGAGAAAAATAATATAATAATAATATTCTACCACATCCACACAACGGCACCTAGTCCCAAACTAAGCAGAGTTTGTACTATGGCTACTGAATAACTAATATAAATATACGTTTTTTTTTTTTTATAAATACATACATATTATCAAACATTAAATGTCCATGCACACAAATGTTTGACTTGAGGGGGAATCGAACCAACCAATCTTCACATAACTCACACATGGCTGTTTGATCCCAAACTAGACAATCTTAACTATTGTAAAAGCGGATACAGACATTGCAGGCATGAGCCGCACACGCCTCACAATGTCTGTATTTGTATGTATGTATGTCTTGCAATGTCTGTATCCGTATGTATCCATATGTATGTAGCTTGCCTCAAGAAAACATAAAACCAGCGAAACCACCTTCAATTTTTGTGGGCAAATGCTACACATGAGACGAGCAGGCAAATCCAGCATCTTTTCCAATTTCAATTAAATACTAGGCTCGTATTAAATATGGTTTTTAACAGAATGAGTGGGGAGATGGGTTCACCCTTTGCCTCATCCTAATTCTCTGGGGGAGTATAACCAAAGGGCGACAATATGTTTAACATTAAGATCATCCCTTCAATAGTCTTCTGTTGAATATAGGCCCGATGCTGTCTAGACGTGTTGGTATTGGATTTGTTTCAAGTTTTCCTTCTTTTTGCAGTGGCTATTGTCCTACATAGTTTGCTCCCTTAGTCAGTCAGTCTTTTATGACACCCACATGATGAATATCGATAGTGACACTCCGTCTTCTTAATTAAGACAAATAATAAAGATAGTGCAGTTCAGGATTAAAAACACCTATAATAAAATTAGAAGCATTTCTTTATAATTACATAAAATATATCTATGTAGATTATAGCAGAAGGTCATTGACAGTCTGCCAAAATAATATACTCATTTCAATGCTAATGGGTTACACATCAATACTAATATTATAACGCTGAAGAGTTTGTTTGTTTTTAGTTGAAGTGGCTAATCTCAGGAACTACTGGTTCAATTTTATTGGATAGCCCATTTATCAAGGAAGGCTACAGACTATATAATATTATGCTACCACCAATAGCAGCCAATCAATGAAAAATGATACAAAAACGGGGAGAATTTATTTCTTTTGAGACATGCAAATGCAGATACGTGGGTCAGTTATTAACTAATAGATGCACAGCTACACTACTGCTTGTGTCCTCAGGGCTTTAGAGGTAGGCTTACTTAGGAATTTTCACTTTGAAGTTAATTACTACCCTTAAAATGCATACAAATCAAGTGTAATTATTAAGTTTTTTGTGATAATAGTAGTCGTATTTCTTTCTTTATCTCTTTTAAAAAAGAGACAACTCCCGCATTAGGTATATATCTCTTTACAAACATACAAGAAACGGACACAAAAATACCCAGACTCAGAACAACAATTTGTGGATCACACAGTGTCGTCCCATCTGGGGATAGGACTCATAACACTCAGCGTAGTAATGAGCGGCGTGACGACCGCTTACGCCATCCGTGCAGTCAAAAAGTATTTGATGTTTATCAGACATCTAACGGCCAACTCTAGCATCGCACTCGCTCATTGATCAAATAAATAGTGTACGGGTTGCGTCCTGTTACAGACTTCCGTCCCATTACACAAAATCACTCAGATTGTTACCAAACATTTTTAGGTTTTATGAGATGCCTTTTTTCATTGACTGGGTAGAAGATCCCTTCGGATCTCCTGCGCATTGGGACTCAGAAGCCATGTATGTGGTGATTCCACTAAAAACCACCCTGGCGGCTGGCCTCAGGGGCCCTTCTCTTGGAGGACGCGGACCATGTGATTTTAGGTCCTGGGATTTATGAAATGTCTAGCAATAAAAGGAACCCTTATTTGATCACACAAATCATTCCACGCATTTTTAACCTACACTTAGCTGGGAACAAAAAAAAAAGGGTTGGTCCCATTTTTTTACACTTTTCCTGCTATCTTTAGACTTCATTCCTAAGAAACGCGTGCAGGTAGTTGAAATTAAAGTTAAGTACATTTTGTTGTTCAAATTTTAAAACTTCGTAAACCTTTCTATTGTCTATGTTTCTTAATAGCAAGGATATTGTTCTTGTCCTATTATTACTACAAAAATTTGCTCACTTGCTAATCTGCTAACTTTAGACTTCATTCCTCAGAGACGCTGCAGGTAGTTGAAATTAAAGTTAAGTACATTTTGTTGTTCAAATCTTAAAACGTCGTAAACCTTTCTATTGTCTATGTTTCTTAATAGCAAGGATATTGTTTTTGTCCTATTACTACTTCAAAACTTTGCTCACTTGCTAATCTGCTAACTTTAGACTTCATTCCTCAGAGACGCGTGCAGGTAGTTGAAATTAAAGTTAAGTACATTTTGTTGTTCAAATCTTAAAACTTAGTAAACCTTTCTATTGTCTATGTTTCTTAATAGCAAGGATATTGTTCTTTTCCTATTATTACTACAAAAATTTGCACCTAGCATTGTTTCGGACAAAACCGCTCGTGGTTTTCTCTTAACATAATCGATCTGTGTCCATTATTATGGTAAACAATGGTAGAAAAGTAATTCTTAAACTAATGTTGTATTCTTAGGATATAGGGAAACTAATCGATTCGAACAAATATTATTAGTCCATTTCCTCATATTAATAAATAAAAATATAACATTTATTACTTCGTCTAATCTGTACAACATTAATAATAATTTTGTTTTTGTCTACTTTTTTTGTTAGCATTTAGCAGACAATAACAAAATTATTATTGGTAAGCTAATTCGTAAACAGATTTAAACACATCGTTTTTTATATAATTTATATTTTACGCATGGCAAGTTTAGAAATCGTAGAAACGGGATTTATTGACAACACTTGAACGTTTAGTTATTGCACTTGTAACAAGTTTTGAGGAGAATTTATATACTTTTAGCACAGTTCTAAAAATATGGAAATTACATAAAAATAGTTAGGATGATTCACTTTATAAACAATACAATTCTCATAACCATCCATCAAATATTACTAGGTGTACAGGATCTGCCGTTCTTCTTTTAACAATTTGGAACATTTCGGTATTCTGAGGTAAATCAATACCCATAGTACTACTACTGGATACTTTCCATTGACATGGAATCCTGTCAAGACGCTCCAAAAACAATCGACAGTCGTTAAACTTTTGTTCTATCACTCCAAAAAATATTTTTTGGGATCACAAACTTGTATACTTTGACTGCACGGGTGGCTTAGTGGTTTAAGCGGTCGCCACGCCGCTCCCTATATGGGACGACACTTTGTGTGATCCACAAATTCTTGTTCTGAGTCTAGGTGTTCTTTGTGTCATTTCATGTATGTTTGTAAAGTCCCCGCGCCATATATATATATATATATATGTATATTGTGCTTGAAAAATTGACTTTGACCGACATCGAGAGATCGATGGAAAATGGTAAGATGATGACTTATCTTAACTTAAAGAATAGGAAGGAGTTCCTATTCTTTTCTCGTTGTGTTTTCTTCTTCAATTCTTCTCTTATCACTCGTCAGTTCATTGGTCCCTTTCTAGTCATGATATCCTCTTTCACACAGTCCATCCATCTTTTCTTTGGTCGTCCTCTACTATTACATCCATCAACATCCATACTAATGTTATAAAGTGTCTGTCTGTTACCTCTACACGCTTGAACCGCTGAACCTTTTAGATGAATTTTGGTATAAAGATAAATTGTATCCTAAAAATCATCCTTTAATGGGGTGAAAAGGAGGGTGGAAGTTTGTATGGGAAACGGCTAAACAGATTGAGATGAAATGTGGCACTTACCGCGACAACTGCGATAATATACACGCGGATGGAGACGCCGGAACAAGCTAGTCCATATATAAAACTTTGTTCACTACAATTAGCTCTGACGAATCTTGACGTAGATCGAAGGATGAAAGAGTATTTGTAGAACTGCGAAGTTAAATTTCATCATCATCAACAGCCTTTAGCAGTCCACTGCTGGACATAGCCCTCTTCTTAGAAAGGAGGTTTTGGCGTACTATACCACCGGGTTGGTATAAAGTTTGTTTCAAGTTTTCCTTCTCTTTGCAATTCTATTGTTCTGCGTAGTTTGCTCCCTTAGTCAGCTTTTGCCGACACCCACGGGATGAATAGGGGTTATAATAGAATTCTTAATCCGTCACCACACGGACAGACACATGACACATGTAATATTATAAATATACTTATATCTATATAAATAAAAAAAAAATAATGTATGTTTGTCGTCTATGCGTTCCGAAACCATTTAACAGTTTGTGATGAAACTTTGGTAGGGTGTTCTAGGGACGCTTGCCAGGGTTCTTGGCCAAAAATCTACGTAGATTCCTTTTATATGGGGTCTACCAATAAGAACGTCCTGGTTTAAAAATTGAATAAAACACATTTTTTTTATGAAAAATGCATCCGATTGATTTATTTGATAGATAATTTTATGCCATTTATGTTTTAAATAATATATCGGCCAAATGACCGCCGCGGCTCTTTTTGCAGACGGTCACCCGCTCAAGCCAATTTTCGATGACGCGGTGCACCATTTCGGCCGGTATGTCGGCTATGGCTTGTCGAATGTTGGTTTTTAGGTCACGAATTGTAGCTGGATTATTGTTGTACACTTTAGATTTAACGTAACCCCAAATAAAATAGTCTAAAGGTGGCCAACCCATTTCTCGAAATTAACGACTTACCAAACTTTCCACGCAATAATTCCATGTTCACTCGAGTAATGTGAGGTGGTGCACCTTCTTGTTGAAAATAAAGGTCGTCTGCATCAATATCATCAAATTCCGGAAAGAAATATTCGGTTAACATCAAGTTATAGCGCTCGCCATTCACAGTAACAGGGTTTCCTTCGTCACTTTCAAGGAAGTTTTGGACAATTTCCAAGCGTTGGTTGAAAGTGAAACGTGACATGATAAAATGGCAAACCTTACTGAACACAAATGTCAAGAGACGTCAAAGATTCATCATCAAACATGGCCGCTATGAGCTGTCAAAACCAGGTCATCCCTATTGGTAGACCCGTTACTTCATACGTTTAGATAATATAAAACGTGTAAAAACCATAAATTGTTAGGTTAAATATGATTCATGGTAAACATTTTAGCTTTGTTATGACAATCACCTAGGTATTTCTGAAAAGCTATTTTGAAACCATATATTTTGTTTAGAAAAATATTTATAATGCCAATTATTCCTCGACGAATGTGTTTCGTACATTAGCGAATCTTTACGAAATCGATAGAATTTTGTCTGTATTTTTATAAATAAACTGTTTCTGCGTAGTATGTTAATACTGCGTAGTATTTTTATTGTGGCTGGTGCTTTAACGACTTGTAAATTTTATTTGACCTCGGAATAAAATGTGGTTTTATATGCTGTTTATTATTGTTCCTATTTTGTCTTTTATTGAAATTGACTGTTTTGACTATTGACGAATTTTACGATTACTTTGAAAATCTTCCTTTGTTTCGTTGACCAGTATAATTAGACCTTCCATTGTATAAATTTTTATACCATAGTCATCACGTTTACTGGACTCCTTTTATCTAACCCTTTTTAATATTTTTATTTTTATTTATTTATTTTATCGCGGCTAATGTTTAATTTACCATCATAGTAAAATATCATGTCAAAATAACACTTTATGCTGCCAAAAACAGTAATTGATCACCTAAATTAAAACCTCATTTTAATGTGAACTTTGTGTGAAACCAAAAAAATTACATTTTGCTGCCATCAAAAGTAAAAGACTCGCAAACTAACCCCAAAAATAGTAAATAATAACCAAAAATTTTACCACATTTTACACGAATTCACAAAAGTTACATGTTATACTGGAAGAAAAGGCGCCGGCGCCTTCGAAGTCATACCCACTACATTACAAGCTGGAAAGGTTAGGTACTTCCCGGTTGATTTAAAAAGAAATAACCAAAACCTAACCAAAGTCAAAAGTAATTGTCTTTACGGCATTTGGTGTCCGAATATAATTAGAGTTCAGTCATGTCTAAAACAGTTATAACCATTGTAGTTTTAGACTATCTGTGTTTAGAGGTACAATTCTTTTTTTTTTGTGGTCATTATATTTAATCCCTTTTATCTCTTTATTGCACACCTCTACAGTATTATTTGAAAAGATATTTTAATACATTCCGGAATGACAATAGGCGGTCTTATGGCTCACGGCGATCTCTTACAGACAACCTTTTGTTTTACGTTAAATATGTATGAGGCTTTGGGCATCTATAGATAAAAAAGTATAACAAATATGTTTCCTTGAGCCATATTTGTTTAAAAGGGGGTTTAAAAAATATATTTATGTATTAATAGATAACTTAAAAATTAATGACATCTCACAAACGGCCGTCTAATCTCAAAGCTCTCAACTATTCCCCATCCTTTTTACTTATTTATGGCTTGTATTGTATAAATATTAAATAAATAACGAATAATGTGTTTAAGAAAATTGTAACTGTCTGAACAAGTCAATAAAATTCAGTATTGATCACGCCATAAATGAGGTATATTTCTCCTATTAACGTCTAATAATGCAAGCTTAGAAATTTTATAAATGCCGCTACATTCACTACACCTACTCCAGAAAGCAGTTTTATTAAACACATGCAGACTCACTCGGAAATTACTCACCACATTGCCAGTTTTAGCCACATACAGCATCATTTAAACCCTGACACTCGGCTATGGCTCGCGGAATTATAACACAAAATAAAAACATAATAATAGTCTCACACGTTTCACACGCGGCCGTCTGATTCCAAACTAGGCAGAGCCTGTGCTATGGTAACCAGACTGCTGATAAACATACTTATATATTTCTAAATACATACATATAATAGATAAATTACACGGATATACTAAACAATGATCGTGCTCATCACATCATAGTGGGTATTCCTAATTTGTTCCTAACAAATTAGGAATGCCTACTAAACAAAAGGCCAAAAGCCCTATCATTCATGTCGCTTTTTCTATTTCAGGGATACCCTCCGCATAAGAGAGGCGAAGATTTTCTCCGCAGTCCTGCGCTGGTCTGAGGCTGAATGCATAAGAAGACAGTTACAAGTCACACCAGCCAACCAGCGTATGGTTTTGGGCAGAGCTTTCAACGCCATCCGTTTTCCCCTAATGTCTGTCGAAGAATTTGCAATGGGCCCCGCGCAAAGTGGACTTCTGGATGACCGCGAAATAGTTCAGCTTTTTCTGTATTTCACGGTGAACCCGAAACCTAACGTGGGGTTTTTAGACACACCCAGATGTTGTATGACTGGTAAAGAGTTGACGGTAAATAGGTTTCCGCAAACTGAGTCGCGATGGGGGTACAGTGGTACCACAGACCGTATCAGATTTACGGTTGATCAGCGAATATTTGTGGTCGGTTTTGGTTTGTACGGGTCGTATTTCGGGCCGACAGAATATGAAGTACACTTGCAGGTTAGTAGTTTTAATTGTACGGTAGTCGCTTATAAATATTAACCAACTTAACTAATTAAAAGTGTGAATGTGAATTTTTTGTAACACTTTCTAACTCTGTTAACAACTTAACTGATTTTTGTGAAGCGTTTCCCAAATATTGTTTGAAAGAGTTTTTTGAAATAAACTTCTTTATCGTGCGTTACACGCTATGAGCGGAAGGGAGCGAGTCCGAACAATGTGTAACAAGACTTTTTTTCCGACACCATAGTTTTAAACGTCTACCAAAAAATGAAAAAAATGAAAGGTTCTTCGTTCCGAGCGGGGCTCATGGATCCGTTTTTTATTGGTTCTTTTTTATGGAATAGGGGACATACGAGCGGATATGTCACCTGATGGTAAGTGACTACCGTCGCCCATGGACATCTATAACTCACAAAGCTGCTTTGTAAACTGCCCCCTCTCCCCAGTAACAGAGAGAGGAGACATTTTGGGCTGAAGTAACCTCACACACAAGAATATAGCGGTGGTTAATATTATAAATCTTTATTTATTTATATATTTTAGATAATACACCTAGCGACAAAGAAGGTGTGTGGCTCGAACACAACAACCTTCTGCTGTGATGGCAGTGACGACACCTTCCGTGCTATGTTCAAGGAACCAGTCGAGATTTTGCCAAACACCTCGTACATAGCCAGCGCTAAACTAAAGGTATGATTTTTTTCATAATTTATTTTGCTATACCACTCAGAACTTTCAGTGATTTCTTTTTACTCGAATCTGAAACACCAAGGTTGAAGTCTTAATATTCCTTATAATGTATGTCTTAATAGTCTCTTTATGATATAATTTTGGACAGAATTGGCAGAATTTGGACAAAGACTGAGACTGAGAGACCCGACTAGGTGTGTGCTTTCTTTATCTCATAGAAAAGTGAAAACCCATTTAAATAGAATTAGCGTAATTCTATCATTCTGTTGTGAATGGATGGGATGCTCCTCCACCACAAAGGGAGGATCCTCCGATTAGGCGAAGTGATCACGCCAGATTAGCAATTACTCCGTAGTTCGATGCGTCTTCGTTAGATGTCACTGAAGTATGTTTGTAAGCACTGTTTGTAAGCACTGGCTACCGCTTACCACCGAGTCTTGTCACACTATGTATGTAATAGGTCTCATTCGCACGTTGTCCATCCCGTGATCTTTCTATAATTTTTTGGCGATTCTAAAAACAAGCTCTATTCTGTGATTCATCAACAGCCTTTACAAGTCCGCTGCTGGCCATAGTCCCCTCCATAGAAAGGAGGATTTGGCCTACTATACTACGCTGGCCAGACGGGTTGGTAGAGGGTTTATTTCAAGTTTCCTTGTCTTTGCAGTGCTGTTATCCTGCGTAGTTTGCTCCCTTAGTCGGCTCTTACGACACCTACGGCTCTTACCTACCTACCTACTATGTATTGTTAATACGTCACACGTGATTAGTAGGTTTAAAATAAAATTACTTCAATTGTGAAAAAATATCTGCATTTTAGTCACAATGTGTATCTATACTTTTCAGGGCACAGATTCCTACTATGGCACGAAAGGCCTTCGTCGGGTGACGGTGGATTGTAACAACGGTGAAAAGGTCGTATTTCAGTTTTCATATGCTGCCGGCAATAACAACGGCACTTCAGTAGAGGACGGACAAATACCGGCCATAATATTCTATATTTAAAGAAAAAAACTACCAAAAGCTGGCAACATTGGCTGATGTTGGTGGAAAAAGGCTCTCCTTTCACACGGATAAAGTAATAGGTACGCTTTTTATAGTAGAAAAAAACTTGTTTTATTTAAATGTCATTTAAAGTGCAAATCATTGTTTTATACACTCTTATGAATGAAGTTTTTACTAAAACTCGGTTCCTGTATATTTTTATGAATAGCTTAAATAAATTATAGACATTTATATCATCACCTAAAAAATATAAATGTTACTTTATTCTGTCCGTGTGGAAAAGCGGGGCCGTGTGCTATAAAATGTTATTTTACATCGAGATTCGTAGTCTGAAGCTGATTTTGTGAGTCTTTGGCGACAAAATCTAAAAACACAATGTAGTTCACCTATATCCTTTATCATGTCATACGACATTTAAAAAAATCTCAAAATTATCGTTACATTTTGTAGCACGTGAATAGATCTTAAAGTTAAGGCATTTCATTAAACAGTTAGTTCCTGAGAGTCAGTGATTATAAATAAAACATATCATAAGCAGTGAAAAAACGGATAATTACAAGAAATGACTGATAAATCCCAAATTCATGCCTTTTCCTTAAATTTAAATAGCCTTAAAATACAATTTCATACATTTCTACATAACCACAACATATTATTACCCATACTAAATATTACCAATAGTTTTGTATTTAGAATCGTATAGTAGGTTCGTGACGGTGTTGCTATTTCTTCCATGAAAAAATTGCCTGCTGTAAATAATTGATAAAATAGTAGTTTTTATCGTATTACGAGACGGTAACAACAGTTTTACCATAACTTGCATCACGAAATTGTATTAACACACTATGATCAAACATATCATAGACAAGAAATACCACCAGACGAAAAAACAAACAAATGTTTTGCATCGAATTTTGTACCGTTTCATTGCGATTGATGACAAAAATCGCCACATGAGAAAAAAGTTTTTTTTTACTATATGTAGATTAAAAAGCATTCAAACCGTATAATGTGACTTGTAAATGTTAAGGTATAGGCAAAAGACAAGCGTATCTTTTAAACTAAATCAATACTGGCATCAAGCTACTGAAAAATAACATTTAGTAATGTCGAAATTTCACTAAGATCATTAAAACAAAAAAAACTGTTTAGTATTAGTATAAACGCTTTAAATGTGTCTCAAATAAAGGGCTGTTCACACTGACGAGTTTAAAAAAATACCACTTTTTTAAAACGTAACTTATTTTAAAGGAAATTTTAAAACCTGAGTGCCGGGCATTATATCTAAATATATTTTTAAATCGGTACTTATATTATTTTCTTAGGGATAGGCTACATATAAATAGGTATTAGAATCAATAACGCCAATAACAAGCAATAGATTTACAAGGTACAATTTTTATTTAAATATCCGTGCCTTCGACAGATTAGTACCGATTGTAGTCACGAGTTTAGCGACTTAACATGTACTGAGGTACATAAAGGATCCGGATCATCTCGAAAAAACAGTACTGTTTCCTAAATTGATTGACAAAATCTAATTAAATTTGAACCCGCGGACACATGCTAGTCCATAATGAGGAACTAATGTTTTCCAAACTAGAAGTGTGTTATAAAACTGTGTCGTGTGAACAGACCTTTAATTCGCTTACTTTTCTATATATCTGTGATAGGTTTGAGGAATGTATGGGAAGGGTAAATATTCGAATGTGATCTGGTTAATTTATTTAAATGTATTTTCTGTGACCACATTTGTTTGGTCCCACTTTTAAATATTACAAGTGAGATGTATGAAATTTAGTTTGTAAGTTGCCTTATTTATTGTTCAAATTTTGTTTTTAGAGGTATATGTATAAACTACCCGACGCGACTATTATATTTTGGTTGTATTAGTGATGTGCCGTGTTCTTAAAAATGTATAACCGCGGATACGGATTATAAGTCTAAATCTGCTAGTACGGATTATTTGTCTATATAGGCCAATAGTGAAATGGTTAAGGTCTATACGCTTGATTGACAATTGTCGTCTGGGACTAAATACTATATCATGTTTGGACTAACACTGCTTTTGATTTTTTTTCTTTTTTTGTAAATACATGTATCACAAAGATTTGAAGTTTGATCTCTTATAAAATTGGTAACTCACAAAATTAAAATATTTAATTTTAACAATAAATCTACGATTTGGATGTAAAAGATCCGCTTAAGATCTGCCAAAATATGCTCGGATCTTTTCACCTTCGGATATTCGCGGATACGTATCCGTATCGGCACATCACTAGTTTGTATGAACAATGTATTTATTTGGTAGTAAATTTATAATGGAATTTCTACAATAAACATCAACAGACTTAAAGGCATCGCCAACATGAAAGTAAACATCGCACTTTAATAATATATAGTATATATATTTATTTATATATACGGCTATTAAGGATATCACATAATACAAAATACCTTTGAGTTGACCTGGTAAGTTCCACAATATGTTGTTTACTGTACTTTTTTTTTACTTACGTACTTTACTGTACTGTAAACTTATATTAATTATTTATCACTATATTCAATAACGCAATGAATTATATTCGTTAAACAAAACCTAGTATAAAATCTAAATTTTTAGTTTTTTTTGGAGTTTACTTCTTAAGAATCGATTAACATATAAGGCGCCCGGTATGAAAAAAAATATGAAGAGTAAAATTTAGTTATCGAATGACCTCGTTACGTTTTTTGTGCGCAACCTATTGTGCGCACCATTCACATGTGTGTGTATAACTTGTATACTTGTGTGCTGCCGAATCGTTCTTAACGAGTAAACTCCAGTCGTACGTGGGAGCACTTTCCGGGCAAGTGTCTATTAAGACCAAATCGATTAAACCTTTCATGTTCGCGATGCTTCGTTGTCAATGTCCTTTAAAAAGCTTCGAAGGTTCCAACTTTATATGGATTTGATGTTGATGTAAAATGTATCTTATGGAACTGCTTTATGTTGTATATTTCTTTGGTATATACACGTTGTGTCGTTGCCAATGCAGGTCATAGTTAAAAAAATCACAAGATAGTTCAATGCACTCGTGAATACTGTTGCAGAGAAAATTATTGCACTTTTAAGGCAGTTTTTCTGACTATGCAGCGGAGTTGGCTTAACGTGTACTTAGTAAAACTTAAGTATTTATGCTTCATGGATAGTTGTGTTGCTAGGTTCTATAATCTTTTGAATATTTTTATGACCCACCCAATAATATGAGATACTGTATAAAAAATTGATCAACTTAATATATTTATAGTATATTTGTAATTGGATTGATTTTTGTCTAGTCAAAATATTAAGAAATTGTGATCATTTTATTTAAGGATTCCTTTTGATAGACTTAAAAAAGTGCCCTTTCTTTTATTTCCAAAAACGTTTTCACATCACACAATTGTGTCCTGTGTGGGAATTGAACCCACGATCTCTCACGACCAGTAGACCTACAGGACATTCTATTGTATGAACTCTACCCGATTTTCAGGGTAGTCGAAATCGACAACATTATTAGGGCGAACCTCTATTATAAATAAAAAAAAATCTCAACATGGCAACTCTTATCAAACGAAATCCTTAAATTAATTTCTAAATTAAATATCGAAGGGGGTGTCAACCTTGAGTTTATAGTATTAGTTTATAATCACAATGGCACACTTTATATATTGGTTATAAATTTCATTTTGAATTGTGCGGAAGCGATTGTAGGAATTGAGCAGTGTATGTATTCCTAAGCATAAGATGTGTATTAAAAACGATATTTTGTATAGAACAACTGATGTTGGTTTAAATGTCGTCATTAAACAATAAAAGTGAATTTAAATTTGTTTTTTTAAAACCCTTGGAATAAGTTACACGTTTCATCATCATCATCAGCCTATCGCAGTCCACTGCTGGACATAGGCCTCTCCCATTGCATGCCACTTAGATCGATTTTGGGTTTCTCGCATCCAGTTAAACGTTTAGTTAAGATAAATTAATGAATCCTCCTCAAATTAGGCCTGGAAATAATACTGAGTGAATGAAGTAGTATCTCAGATTTGAACCCGTGGAAACCACACGGTGTTCCGTCACAAGTGAATTTATTGCAAGTTTGAGGAAACCCAAGCAGATCTTAAACAGTTGGCAGCATTCATGTGTGTGGAGGATTATGCCCCTGGTACCGGTTTAAGGAAGCTCAGGCCTTCTGCTAGCCCGTTACGGCCTCTAAGCCACCGCTGGTAGAGATTCAAAATCATTCTGCGCTCTTTTCCAGAGCACTACTCCTGTCCGCCCTTTTCACCATGTCTATCTATAGCCAATTTGACTTCCTCACAAAATGAAGTAAGCAGGTAGTAGTAACAGAATCCCACACAGCAAGTTTGGAACAAAGACAGAACCAAGGAAATAAGAACCTCTATAAGCTCGGCGTTTCTCTAAGGGATCGCATCAGAAATGAGGTGATCCGGCAGAGAACCAAGGTCACCGACATAGCGTACCGGATCAGCAAGCTGAAGTGGCAGTGGGCTGGCCATATTAGCCGCAGAACCGATAACCGTTGGGGAAAACGAGTTCTTGAGTGGAGACCGCGTCTCGGCAAACGTAGTGTAGGACGCCCACAGGCCAGGTGGAGTGACGATTTGCGCAAGATGGCTGGCAGGAGCTGGATGCGAGAAGCCCAAAATCGATCTAAGTGGCGTGCAATGGGAGAGGCCTATGTCCAGCAGTGGACTGCGATAGGCTGATGATGATGATGATGATAAGCCAATAGCCGCCATAAGGACGCGGTGCTGTTATGTCCACTTTTAACACTATACTAGACTGGAGTGCAGCAGAGCGCCCTTTGCAGTGATATAAATCGAGTCAGTTTTCCTGTCAGCACACAACCACTGTTGTTTCTTGCAAGACACTACTTCTCCTGTCCCCTTGATTCTGGGGGAGGGGGGTTCAAAGGGCGGCAACATAATTGTAACTTGAGGTGTAATATGTAAGCACCAGGGACTTCCTTTCTAGGGTATACCTGGTGCCACGGCTATTAGTACCCGAGACGGCGTGCGGTTTTAGTCGGTTCGAGTCCGACATGCCACCGATAGGTGGTATCCGAGGGGATTTCCGCACGGAAAAAAAAAAGTGTAAAATATACCCAAAACGGCTGTAAATTGAAGAAATACATACTTATTATATAAGGGTGAGACTAAACAAGCTTAATTAAATGAGTTGTATGTAGCAGAATTCACGCTGCATTTAGTTTCATGTAAAAGTCTTGTTTTTGTTTCACGGTGGCGAGAAATTAGTTGTCTGCTGACTCACGTAGATTATTTTAATCGAATTGGGGTCGGAGGTAAGGGAGACAAGCAAGTACGTTGGATGAAAACTGATGTAACGGCCGTACGTCTGAGGGTTGAGTGCAAGTTTATTTCACATCGACTCCGTGTCGGTGGCGAGCACGTTTAAGCCGCATTTTCACGTTACGAGTGGGCTTGGACCGAGTGCGATCGTACGAGCTTGCTCGTCTAAGAGTGCATTCGGATTATAGTATATACGTTACGAGTTGAATAGCATCCGAGTATCATTTATCTAGTTGTTTCATTGCACTACATTCATTTTCAAGATGTCCGATGATGACGATCTTCTACTACGAGGTATAGAAATAGTGGCAGATATGTTAATTACTGAAGCACAAGAGCACCTAATAAGAAAGAAAAAAAAAAGAAAAAAATTTAGTGTAAAACCTCAAAGTGTCACGTCCACTCCACTTTATTTTTTGTTGACGCGATTATGTTTACGTAAAATGATACGAGTGCACTCGAAAAAATAGAACCGCGTCCGAGTCCACTCTGATCGGTATCCGACGTCCGAGTGCACTCAGATGGCGTGTTTACACGATACGAGTCGCATCCGAGTAGCACTCGGTCCGAGCCCACTCGTAACGTGAAAACGCGGCTTTAGCGTTGCGATTAGTGAAGATTTTAGTGCGGGCAAATGTTAGTGCCGAACGCGGTCACCATGACGATCGAGTAGAAGTGGAACAAACTATACGACCGAATGGCGTAGTGGTTTGTGTAACGGACTGTTATTCCAAAGGTCGCGGGTTCGATTCCCGCTCAAGTCAAACATTTGTGTGCATGAACATTTAATGTTTGATTTGGTCTGGGCGTTTCTATGTAAAATAAGTATGTATTTACAAAAAAAAGTATATATGTATTTATATCAGTTGTCTAGTACCCGTAGTACAAGCTCTGCTTAGTTTGGGACTAGATGGCGTTGTGTGAATGTGGTAGAATATTATTATTAAACTTGCACTTGGCCCATCATATAACCTAACCGGATTGCAGTAGAACGTAAATTGCGCAATTCAAAATACACAACTTACGTCTCACAAAGCGAAGCAAACTTAAAAGTGACAATTAAAATACAAAGTAAAATTCCATCGTTTATTTTGTAGTCACACAACAATACGCTAATTAAAAGTTATATAATATAATAAGTCTACTCATAGTCTCTACACAGCGAGCTTGCGAGGCGAGGTTTGATGATGGCGGGGCTAGCCCGCTCCTTGCCTCAGGCCCCGAATGAATTTATGCGACTGCTTTACATAGATTTATATATTTCAACTCCAATTCGAATTGTAGATTGGTCACTCTTTGGTAGAAGACGTATAGTATTTAACTTTGTATATTGGCCAAGGTTTCTCCCAACTTCATCAGTTTCATACGTCGCAGTTCTCGTGTGAGATAATCCTACGAACAACCCATCTCATTCTGCCATTCCTTGTGTTTGCTGGCCAAGTTTTTGGAAACTGGCTTCGTCTTCTCTATTGCTGTTAATATATCCGACAAATCTAGTTTGTCCTTACGGTTTTGTACGTTACCTGAAACACATGATTAAAATATTGAGGTTGGTCTACGCTAGACGAGCCTATCATACATTCATTTACTATGAACCGACTTATAAGCCTCGAAGGAGCGTGTTTCGATCATTTCTCGGCTTTTTCACGAACACCAAGGGATTATCATCAAGCTCGCATGCGCTCGTGGACATAGATCGAGCCTCATGGAAACAGACAGAAGATGTATGTTTGCAATTAATTGAATTATATTTAAATAATCGAAAGAATGGGACCCAAAACATGTAATTACTATAAGAAGATAGACGCGTGGTCTCGTATATCCCAAGACTATATAATATTCGCCAAGCGCCGTGAGCACACTGCAGAAAACTACGTTCGCAGAAAGTGATCGTGGTAGGCTAGTTGTAAGTGTCCAGAACGGCTCTTAAACCTAATAGGAATGTATTTAGAATGCGCTCAATGGCGGTACCGGTGTCTTTCTACAGCCAGGCTATTGTTATCCTGAATTTATTGCTCTGTCCTCTGAACTAAGAAATGTAATTTGGAGAAGACTTGACTAACTCCCAACCCTACCTATTTCTAAGGGCACCTGAATGGCTATAACGCACTTGTGCCTCTTGATTTGAAATGTTCAAAGGCAGCGACCCCTCTGCTGGTTTGCCCCCTATACTATAAAAAATAAGGGATAAAGGGGGCTAAATCGTTTTAGAGTCTTTCTTCTCACCTTTCCCTACCATATTCGGTAACATCTTCCTCACAGTAGACATAAGAGCCTCCTTACACACCAACTTGATGTCGCTACCAGAATACCCCTCAGTCTTCGACGCGAACTCCTTAAAGTCCACTTTAGGGTAAAGTTCTATGTTTTTTGTGTTGAGGTATGTCTCAAAGAGTTCTGCACGTGTCTCATAGTCCGGAAGGGGAATGAAAATACGCTTTTCTAGTCGTCGAAGCATGGCTGGGTCTATTTCCCTGGAATGAATAAAAGTTTTCAGTAAAAGTACGTAATTATATTCGTCTATTGACGTGTAAGAAAAAGTAAATACTTGCCAGGGCATATTAGAATTAGCCAGTAAGAATATTATTCCATCTCTTGACTCGATGCCGTCAAGTTCAGTAAGGAGTTGTGCCTTCAGTCGTCTAGAGGCCTCATGTTCCCCTGGAGCGGATCTGTCTGAAGCCAAGGTCTCTACTTCGTCAATGAAGATTATTGATGGAGAATAATATGATGCCATCTCGAAGAGTACCTTGAAGTAAAATTAATCTTATAATATAGCCATATATTCTCACAAGGTCAGTATATGTCCCTGTCTTAGTTGAATCTTCTATCACAGGACAGGCTATGGGTACGTAAACCAGGTTTCTTCGAGCTATTGCTGTCTTAGTACCATTTCCCTACCAGACAGAAGTAGCAACCCTTATCCTAACTCCCTCGCCGTAGTGTAAGCGTTCTTTATCTTCATTTACTTCCTGATTAATCCCCTCTGAAAACGATTACATACATTCCCACGGAGGGTTAGCGTCAAGCCAGCAGCTGACTCTTAAAGAAACTAGCCAAAATCTTTTCGCATGTTATACATTGCTTTGGCCCGAAATAAAACCGCGAACAGAGAAGAAGAGGATGAATTGTTATCAAATGAGGAATGACAGTACCCAAGGTAATCTTCAACCTTTATGTCTAACATGTGATTAACACTTATTTTCCCCTGATCCTTCTGATCATTGAAATACTTAATGTTTGATGATCGGATTTCCAAACCCCAGCTCTCAGCAAAATGGTGAAAAGGTGTACTTAACATAGATTTCGGGTTAAATAATGTACTGTTACGTGTCTCCTGCAACTACTTCCTCACAGTTGCTTGAAGGTGGTTCGTATTTCGATTACCTGTCCGACACTTTAGAATATATGCTATAGAAGTCACTTAAATTATTGTGATACCTTAATGATCTTCTCAGATTCTCCTCTCCATTTATTGACGATGGTACTGCAAGATATATTGAAGAATGTGCACAGACTTTCACTAGCAACTGCTTTTGCGAGCATCGTTTTTCCTGTCCCTGGAGGCCCGTGGAGTAGCACACCTCTCCAAGGTTCGAGAAGTCCCGTGAATACTTCTGGATACCTGGAGAAGAAACAAAATAGATGAAGAAAACGACACATTGGAAGGCTTCTTAACAAAATAATAATTTTGCCGGTATACAAAAAACGAGCCATAAAAAGCAGTGATAAAAAAATACAGTCCCAACCGCTATAGTGTCATGTGTTGATAACCCAAAATATTGCTAATTCGAACAATTATTTTATTTATGCAGCTATTTACGCCAATGATCTGGATTTTTTTATTCCTTTCTTCTTTTCATCAGAATTAGAAGATTTGACTGATTTTGATTTAAAATTATATCACCGCAACTTGCCAATTTTTGTCAAACTGGAAACGATTACCTGTTAAAAAACAATCGAGTCTAACAGTAGTCACTGATGAATCATATTTGTTTTGATCAATAAGAGCGGAGAAGGCTGGGTAAGTTTCCCGTTAGAGAGTTCCCTTTTCACGAAATCAATCTCATAGATTGTAGGACAGCGAGACTACAAATGTTACAAATCAAATAAATCTTCCAACAGGAGTTCTGAAGGCCAGATTTGTTTAAAGAATCCAAGTGTACTCTATAAGATATTTTTCCTCTTTTTTTTTATAATAATATCCTCACACATTGCACACACGGCCCAGACTAGTACCTATTTATTTCAAAGTAAATACATATTATAGATAAATTACATCCAGACACAGAACAATTGATCGTGCTCATATCACACAAATATTTGTCCTGGGCAGGAATCGAACACACGACCTCCGGCTCAGTCGGGATCACTAACCACTCGGCTAATAGACCAGCACTTTCCACTATGTCAATTGTAGCTGTTCTATCTAAGTGTGTTAGATCTTACCGTACAGGATACACCACGGACTCCATCAACAAACTCTTCGCTGAAGATAATCCTTTAACTTCATCCCATGATACTGCCGAAGGTCTGAGTATATCCTGGTATAGCAGTTCCACCAACTGCTTCTTGTCTGGGGTTATATTTGCTAAGAAACCGGCTAAAGGCTTTCTTTCTACTGTCGATAGATTTTTGATATTTATTTCCTCTTCCTGGTTACCGAGAACAGAAATTGAAAGGGTAATTCATGTAATTCTATAAAAATATCTTTTTTTTTGTCCGTGGGAGAGTCATGCACATATCCCTCCCTTAACTCTGTTTATGTACGGTTTACACTGAGTGAGAATCAAGACCGCTACTCGTTAATCTTGTACTTGAATAACTCAAATAAATAAAACAATACAAAGGGAAGGTTTATTTTATTATAATATTATTATTATTTATATATAATTTGAACTGACCTGAAAGGTAATTTATTTAGTTTAAAATGAAACAACTTTACAGCAGGTTTTCAGTTTCGATTTTGTATTTTTATAAACTTTCTTACGTTAGAACTCCATAGAAATGGTGGAATGGTGAAAAAATAAGTAATGGCGATTACAGTTTAAAACAAATCATCAGAATGTACGCGCATTGAAGTCGCTAATCCTTTGTTTAAAACTAAATTAAACTAAGTATAGCAGTGACCCACGAACACACCGAGTTATGACACTTGGGAAGACAGGAAAAAAATCAAACTGTCTTGGAACTCGCAACGAAAAAAAGTATGTAAAATATCATACTACATAAATAAATATCATAATAGTAATAGGTACCCAAGGCAATAATATTTATTTCAGTAACACATATTTAAAACATTAATTTGTTGCTGAGTCCTCCTTTTAAGTATGATATTATACATACTTTTTTTCGTTGCGAGTTCCAAGACAGTTGGATTTTTTTTCCTGGGTCTCCCCGAGAGTCATAACTCAGTGTGTTCGTAGGTCACTGCTGTTGATTTTGTTGTACAGGAGTTAAAGTGGAGGGAGTAGATTAGTCCCATAAAAAAAATTATACATACCTGTGATGAGGCAATATTTTAAATCTAGATCAGTTCAAGGTACCTTCTGCAATTTGGTGATGGTGAAAGTTGAAGGTAAATCAATCTCCTGCTTCTCGCAGACGCATTCTGGAACATGCTCAGTCTTAGTTCGTCCTCTGGTTGCCGGCCTCCGTATTGGCTGTCTTTCTTCCATCTTCCTACAGAACTGGGGTTGCTTATTGAACCGCATTAGGTAGTAGCTGCAGTAGTCCTGTAAGAGGAAATCTTGTGAGTGTTTATTCACGCCGTGTCTTAAGGGTGATGCGGTGGAAGGAGTTTAAACCGGTTACTCGCTGGTTATACGATCGCCCCACCTTCACCTCTACGCGCCGACATTCGGCGACTTATTTTTCCTATGTACACACGTCTTACATTATGTACTAAATATTGATACAAAATCGCTCCTAGAAGCCTGTGAACGCCCCAGGAGGCTTGTGCGCTTTTGGAAGGTAGGAAGCTTGGTTGGCTCACCTAGCTAACCAGTCCTCGACGCATAAAGGACCACTCTTGAGTCTAAATGCGGAAACCGAAGCCCACAACAGATATCAATACCAATGTACTAAATATTATATACATTTCGAATATTGTAATTTTCGCTATAATTTTAATACAACTGAATGCTTGGAGCGTCTGTGTTTCAATTGGCCAACCCAAAAATGATCTAAAAATAATTTGTATGCTGCGTCTTATTATCGTGATAGTTTTTGAGTATGGTATATTAGTTGTTTGTTACTCGTTCACGTACGTTTTCTATGTATATGTATCCAGTATCAGCCACGCTTCGCCGTGGCACTTTGTGGATGTATTGATGAGAAAAAAGAATATAAACTGACACAAAGAAATGGATAAAAACAATCTTTGAATCGTGTTGTATATTTTATCAAAGTTTAAGCTCAATCGATGCAGAACTTTTTGAGCTTTTAAGGCGTACAAAAACCAACTTCATTCTTTTAAATAAATAATTATTTAAGCCTTAACCGTGGGAGAGCCTTGCCTTGCTTCGGAACATATGGTCTAGTTCGATTAGAATGATGCTAGGGCCTCACAAAAACCAGTATTGGGTAATTCCTTCTTTGCATTTTACCGAGTGAGGTTTGTTTGGTGTCAAATAAAACCTAGTACCTTTGTAATAAGACTCAGTTTTGTAGTCTTTTATTAAATACCAGGTATAAGCTGGCCAGATTTACGTCTACAAATTCTATCTCCAGTACTACTCTCAAGGTCACTTGCATAAAGTGGAATGGGTAATGCAATGAATGGTTACGTAATGGGGAATGACGTCACAAGCGTCCTTAAGTCTGGCTACTCAGGCACCAGTCCAAATGTTCTACTACATTAATAACTAATTTGTAAAAAATTTGGGATAAGTCACCCAATTTTTTTACTTGACAATATCTATAAACACTACAGGACGTTCTATTCAACATTAAAAAACATGGTATGCGATTTTTTGGGCGCACGAGTTCGCGATAAAATCACAAGATTGCTTCAACAGCAGTGCGATGTCTATAATGACCTCAAAGACGAATGGCAACAACGCTCTTACGAATCATCTAAATGGCGCCACCTTTACCAGTTCTTTCAATCTGTTCGCGAACGATTGTCGAGGACATGTCGTGAGGTGGATCACTGTGTCGCTCAATTTTTAACAGGTCAAGGTAAATTTAAGAGCAAACTGCATCCATTTAAATTAGTGGAGTCACCATTGTGTCAATGCTGAACACCTAATTAACTCTAAATATCCTCTGGGAATGTAGTCTTTGGTACAATGAACGTAATGTAATGCTGAATAGCTTATAGATATACTATGGGGATCTTGTGTCATGATAAAGCGGCGGTAGCCTAATGAATCCTGACCAGTACACTACCGATGTAAACCCACTCCTCCTCCTCCACCCTCCAGCTGGAGGGGTTAACGGGTAAGGGAAAGATAATTTCGGTACCTAGTAAACCTTTAAAATAAAAACAACAACTAGGTTGAATTTCCGTGCGTTTAGGCGATTCTGCCATACATATTAAAAGGATAAATCAAATATAGCTTACTTAGGACCCATAATATTTTGTGTCCGTGGTCCTTCCCTGTTCAGAAGACAAAATGAAGTAAAAATAGGCATGCACCATGCCTATTTTTTACTTCATTTTATCTCCCGCTTTGCTAAGGAGAAAAGTCAACTTAATATATTTCCAACTACTCCAACTTTTGTCCCAAAATTGACGCACAACCCGTGACAAAAAAATATAAGTACCGACGAATAGAAAAAGACATACATTTTTTTCAATCAGTTAAAAAAGGGAACTAGTAACATGGGTTTAGATTAAACAAAATATACATACATAATATAATATACTTTAAAACGTGTCCCTAAGGGATAAATGGATTAAAATTAAACACCACTTCAGGTAGAAATAGTTGATGGAACAGGCGATTATTTCGAAGAGACCTATTTTTTTAAGGCGAATTCTTTCTGCTTAATTCCTTACAACTACCCCCCATTACTGAGCTTTGTCCTTGAATTCCCGTACAGTAAACCACCAGGTAGGTATGCAATTAAAATACCAACACATCAGTAGGGACGTTTAACAATTCGTTAACAATCTCACGACTAATGGCGTCAGTCAGTGTAAGCCCGGCTCGGCAGGTTTGTTGCACAAAAATATACCTACAACATTTACACACAGTAAAACATAAGTAATTCAAACTTATTTAAAGCTCGTCTAGAGCTAAAGTAACTACTTATCCTTTATTACGTAATATCCCCTACATAATTCGTGTTTGCTCGGCTCGTGGCCTAGCCAGGTCTGTCTATAGATGGGTGACCATTCTTAATACATTGAAACCCCCCCATGCTTCGGAGCACACGAACGTCTATGGCAATCGTTACGGGTAGTCGAAGCCCTAAAGAGTCAAAAAACAGTCTTTCTACAGAACTTCGGTATCACTTAGTACTTGGGTTATGGAGGTCTGATGGAAGTTCAGCCGTATCGTGGTAGACTTAAAGGCGACCCCAACTTAGTTTGGGAAAAAGATTCTGAGGAAGATACTCTACATATCTGATACATCTGGCCAGCGTATTATAGTAGGCCAAAACCTCCTGCCTAAGGAGAGGCCTATGTCCAGCAATGGAATATTAAAGTATGTTGATGACAGCGAGCACCAGCTTTGTCTAAATATATATTTCACTCCACTTTCTCTTTTATTTGATCTTTTTTCTGATCTCATTTTTCTCTTTATTGTCTTTTTACGCTTTAGTCCTTAATAACAGACATACTGACACACATCGGAACAATGTTGTGGTATATTTAATGATGCCATTGTATTTTTCTGTAATTTTTTTTTTTTTTTTTTTTTTTTTTTTTTTTTTTTTTTTTTTTTTTTTTTTTTTTTTTTTTTTTTTTACCACTTTCACACAACGCCATCTAGTCCCAAACTAAGCAGAGCTTGTACTATGGGTACCAGACAACTGATATAAATACATAAATACTTTATTTTTTTGTAAATACATACATATTATACATAGAAACACCCAGACCAAATCAAACATTAAATGTTCAGACACACAAATGTTTGACTTGAGCGGGAATCGAACCCGCGACCTTTGGAATAGCAGTCCGTTACAGAAACCACTACGCCACCCGGTCGTCTGCAAATTGCAAATGAGTGGCCATGAGTTTGTTTGCCCTTTTTTCTCATAAGGCTCAACCCCTTGGAAACGGGCGGTTGTGGATCGGCACAGGCATATCATAGATTTTGTATAAGCATATTTTTTATTAAAAAATATTTTACTTACTTTTGACAAAACAGAGATTGTTGCTTTTGTGTGTGTTGATCTATGACTTCAGAGTCTACATAAAAGACGATTTCAAACATTTTTTTTATGAAATAAAGATATTTAAATTTGAAATTTGAATATCTCAACTAGACGATGTCCAGAGAGACGTGGAAGTCGTCTCCTCGCAACTAGCTATTATCACGGGTGAATAACAGGTAAATAAATATTAAACTTAGAAGCTTCGTCTCTCTCATCATCACATCACATCAACAGCCTCTAATAGTCCACTGCTTGACATAAGCCTCTCTTTAGAAAAGAGGTTTTGGCGTACTATACCACGCTGGCCAGACGGGTTGGTTTAGGATTTGTTTCAAGTTTACCTTATCTTTATAGTGCTGTTATCCTGCAGAGCTTGAACCCTTAGTCGACGCTTACGACACCTACGAGATGAATACTGGTGGTGACACTCCGTATTCTTAAACCGTCACCACACGGAAGTCTCTCTAATTATCCCTATACGAAAGAGTTCGGTATGGCACAGTATGGTTACATAGGTACATCATATAACACGACTCCAGTAAAACCCTGTACCAATTCACGAGGCGTTTTCCATATCCTGCATATTTTCCTCTCAACATTCGTTTAAAACTCCGATAACAATTAACACGCATATTCCAGGAACATTAGAGTGCAGAAGCGTTTTAATTTCGAGAGCAGGAACTCTGTAGGAATTCCTACGAGCACGTGAACTACGTTTTCAAGAATTATTTGTAGAGTTAAATTTAGTTAGTCTTATAAAAGAACCGCTGTTTCTAACTAAGATAGGTTAGAATCGTAACAATGAAATGCTATTTAAAATTGGAATACGTCTTAAATTTGACAGCTGAGTTCTAGTAAAAAAGAACTAAATACAAAAGAAGATTTCAAACGTCATGTCTTTTTTTTTCTTTTTCTTTAAAAAAAAACAACGCCCGCATTAAGAATATATCCTGTGTCTTGGGGGACTTCACAAACATACATGAACCAGTCACAAAAACACCCAGACTCAGAACAACAATTTGTGGATCACACAAAGTGTCGTCACATGTGGGGTTTGAACCCACAACTCTCGGCGTAGTAGGAAGCGGCGTGGCGACCGCTTACACCACTACGCCATCCGTGCAGTCATTGATGATTTTATTTTTGGATTCATTCATATCTAGTTTCATTTATGCTCCAAATGACTCTACAACTTCAAGTCGCAGTATTTGCAGGTTACTGAATACGAAAAATTTATGAAACAGGAAATGGAAAAAACTTCTTCGTCTTCTACCCCATTTTATCTATTACTATACAAATAAATAAAATTGAAGTCTCTGTTTGTAATGTCAAAATAATAAGTTTTTTCATGCTCACAAGGTTATTTGCACGGTACTTATGCCTAAAACTAGTTTAAATATTT